GCACAGTTCTACTCTGACACACACGGGGACACCATGAATGGGATCTACTAATGAAAAATCATCCACTGAGAACCCTGTGGGGCACAGTTCTACTCTGACACACATGGGGGAGCACCGTGAGTGGGATCTACTTATGAAAAAATCACCCACTGAGAACCCTGTGGATCACAGTTCTACTCTGACACACACACGGGGACAACATGAAATGTAGTTGTCTCTATGATAACTGGATTTGCTATGTATCTCTAAGCTCAGCATACATGATGTTGGCCCTCTTCACAAGAAGTTTTCTCAAATACTATTCCGATACACCTGTATCTTTTGCATTATCTGCCTCTCAACTTTCTTTTGTAGTTGGCAAAATGGGCAGTGGTAATAGGACTTGGTGAAATCCTCCCACATAAGGATCATCTTTCTTCTGACTTCATGGACATGTGGAAACATTTCTACCAACTTGTTTTGCTGACCAGGGGAGCAGTTGTCCTTACCTCTGTAGTTTGAAGACAAACAGAAGAAAACACAATATCAGAAGAGCCATCAGACACGAGATTAAAACAGACTTTGGAAAGGGCACTTTCTCCTGCCCACATGCATCTAAAACAAAATAAGACAATCATTGTAAGGTTTCAGCATGGCCTTAGAGCTCACCCGATAGTCTCTTCAACCCATTGTTTCCCTTTATAAATGTCAGTAGTAGTGAAACTGCAGTACAGCTAATCCTTTATTTTTGCCTATCTAGCCAAATTTCTCCATTTCGTGATATAGTGTAAATCCTAGTCCTGGTATGATGCTGTAGAATAAACACCAAACCCCAAGATCAGTTTGAACCAAAAGATTGGTGGTGCAAACCCGTCAGCCTTGGAAACCCTATACAGGGTCACTGTGAGCCAGAACTGACGTGATGGCACTTAACAACAACATTTCTGTGATTATGGATCCATTTTGAGATGAGTTTCTAAGGAGTAGGGATGAAGGTGGGGCTAAGAAGTAAAGACTACAGTGCAGTTAAGTATTCACAATGTGCCCACCCAAGTAGAGGGGGTGACTGAAGTTATCACCATTGTTTCCCTTGGGGACAGGGACTGACTGCAATTTAGAAGACTGATTTGGAAAAGACCTCTTGCCCTGGATTTGCAATGGTTCATGACATCTGAACCTCCAACTGGTAAGACTATCAGTCCAGCTCCATTCATGTTCACCAAGTTCCACAGTCTCGTTCATCCACAGTCTGTCTTTGGACCGGCTGATTTGGGTCCTTTTGGTCCTGAGACTACATGGGTGAGAAGATTCCTCCATACTGACCTCTGAACTATGGATTTAGTGCTTGATGGTCTCCACAATTGTGTGAGACATTTCTTTTGACAATTGTAAGTTTTGTGGAATGTTGCATCCTGTTGCAGAGCCCTGGGACACAAGGGAGGTTAGGAGTGATGATCGGTGTCAAGGAATATGCAGAGACATAATACATTGGGATGGTCAAACAATTGGGATATCCTAAACCTCCAACTCATATGAACCAGCCTTGTGTTGATTTTTTATTTTATTTTATTTTATTTTTTGCAAAAGAAAGGATCCATGCATCATGTCGTTGGGAAATATTTTGGAAAGACAGAGACTGAAGATGGATCCATATAGTACAACTGACCCAACAGGGTCAACACACTGCTCCAAGATCAAGACTTTTAACTGGTTTCAGCCAGTTCAGTTGTGGGCAACAGAAGTAAGGGCATTGTACACGTTGCATAGCAACCAAACATCTAGTATATCAGATGTTGACACAAGTAAGAAATGGGCACAGATGGTGGTCTACCACTTGGCTTTGAATGTGTGTTGGCCACCATCTTGGAATGAGGCATCCTGACCTGATTCCTACACAAACCAACTAACCCACTGAGGTAGAGCTGATTCCCACTCGTACCCAGTCAATGGGACAAGTTACAATGGCTCCCCAGAGGGTTTCCGAATTTGTAAATCTTTATGGGAGCAGATTGCTTCCTTTTTCTCCGGCGGCCCAGCAGGGAAATTTGAACCAACAACCTTTTGGCTATTTGTTTTTGTTAAGGCCATCAAGTCAGTTCTGACTCATAGCAACCCTGTATAGGGTTTTCAAAGAGCAGTTGGTGGGTTTGAACCACCAGTCTTGTGCTTATCCTACAACGCCACATTTTAAACATTGTTCCGCAGAGCTTCTTGCCTGATTATTTTTGCTGTTCAGTATCATTGAGTCATTTCGGACTCATAGTGACTCTGTGCATAGCAGGGTGAAATCCTGCCCGGTCCAACACCAACCTCACAATTGTTCCTGTGTTTGAGCCTTCTGTTGCAGTAAATGTATCATTCCATCTCATTTAGAGTCTTCCTCTTTCTCTCCACTTTTCCACCATGATGTCCTTCTCCAGGGACTGGTCCCTCCTGACAATATGTCCAAAGGACTAGACACAAAGTCTGTCCATCCTGGCCTCCAAGGAGCACTCTGGCTGCATTTCTTCTAACACAGATCTCTTTGTTCTTTTGGCAACCCAGGGTACTTTCAGTATTCTCCTCCAACACCATAACTCAAATGCATCAATTCTTCTACAGTCTTCCTTATTCACTGTCCAAGTTTCACATGCACATGAGGATATTGAAAATACCATGGCATGGGTCAGACATCCTCAAACTGCTCTTCAACACTTTGACACTCACACAAGATTTGAATGCTACTCAATGAGTAAGCCGTTGTTGTTTCCATCAGCCACAACTGGATCATTTTGAGCTGGATCAGCACCCAGTCTAAGAGCTTGCTGTTACTAGGGACAACGTGAGTGTTGGCATTTGCTGATGGGGGCCGAGAGAGATTTCAGGAGTGTGACATCCCCATTGTCCTCGAGACCTTCTAGGATGTGAACTTAAATATGGACATGTGGAGGAGAGGGGCGTTGCTTATCGCTGGCCCCACACCTTGCACAATACTGACGATAGCCAATTATCACTCATCCATATAGTGAAAATCATGGATTTCCTTGCTCTTTGTAGACAAGAATCCTGGTGGCGCTGTGGCTTAGCTTGAAGGTTCAAGCTCCAGGGGAGAAAGATGAGGCTGTCTGCTTCCGTAAAAATCTACCGCCTCAAAAATCCTAGGCAGGATCACTATGAGTCAGAGTCCAGTCAGTACAGTGGGTTTGGTTTTGGGGGTTCCCTTGAAGACAGGCTCTTTCCAAGAAGGGTGGCCCTCGGTTTCCCCTTTCTGACGTTGGCTCAGTATTCAAATGCCAAACACACCATGATTCTTGATCTTGCTTCTTTGTCTAGCAACAGCCAACGCCCTTATCTGATCGATTCATTTCCTCCCTCTCTGAACTCCATGTTGGCAGCACATGTTGGTGAAAGAGTTAGAGAGGCAAACCTGATTCAAGAGATTGAATCAAGTTTGCGCTCTAGCAACTGAATTCAATGATGCCAGGGAGCCTTTGAAGTTGATGCCCCTCTCAGAGAACAGCTTTGGCAGCCCATGTAAAGTCCCCTCAGGAGCAAAACAGTGAGTTCAGCATGAACTTTCCCTCAAACAACTGGACCCAAGGTTGCTGTACAGTGACTTGTTTGCCAACCCAAGTAGGTGCTTGCACAGGAGCCCAGCAGCACGTCAGTGTTGATGTCCTCTTGGAACATAAAGGCGAATTTATCCAAAATGGCGCTCCCTCTCCAACAAGCTCTCTTCTCCTTGGGCATACCCTGTGGAGGAAAGTCCTGGTACCCGCTGAAGTTATAAGCTGGGTCACCCCTACCTGCCTCCTCCAGCTTCCTACAAAGCATATGAGTACCCTAGGCGCTCAAGACCATGGTCTCGGGGGACAGCAATTCATTTTAAAAGGTCAGGTTTACTCATCAGATAGAGACTGGTGGAACTAATGCCAAGGCTATGGCATTAGTCACCCTTCATGTCTGGAACCAAACTCATCCCTGTGGGTCAACTTTCAGCCAAACATTAGATAGGTCAATAAGAACATGGATCCAAAATCAACATTTATGGAAGCAGCAGTCAGGAGATAAGACGACGTATTGCATTGGGCAAATCTGCTGCACAGATGTCAGCTTGAGGACTAAGGTGCGCCTGACCCAAGATATGGTATTCCCAATATGCATGTGAAATTTGGACAGTGAATAAACAAAATCATAGAAAAATTGATGCATTTGAGTTATGGTGTTGGAGGAGAATATTGAAAGTGCCATGGGCTGCCAAAAGAACCAACAGATCAGTGTTGGAAGAAGTACAGCCAGAGTGCTCCTTGGAAGCCAGGATGCCCAGACATCGTCTCTCATACTTTGGACATGTTATCAGGAGGGACCAGTCCCTGGAGAAGGACATGATGCTTGGTAAAATGCAGGGTCGGAAAAAAAGAAGACCCCAACGAGATGGATTAGCACAGTGGCAGCAGTGATGGACTCAAGCGTGGCTACAGTTGTGAGGTTGACCCAGGACCAGACAGTGTTTCCTTCTGTTGTGCATAGGTTCGCTATGAGTCAGAACTGACTTGCTAGCACCTGACAACGACAACAACATAAGCAGAACAACCATACCAGGGAGCTATGCACATCTTAGAATAAAAATTAAAAATAGCAGCATGTACCCAAGAACAGAGCAGTAAAAGGGTTAGGAAACAAGAACGAATGGAAAACAGAAAACACAGGGAGGACGTGATATGAACAATGTTACATTGTGAAGACTGTAATCAATGAGATGTGACAAAATGTGTACAGATCGCTGAATGGAAAACCGATCTGCTCTGCAAACCTCCACTCAACCCACAAGAGAAACTCTAAAAATCAATCAATACACGAAAAGAACCCCCTGAGCATTTGCTCCCAATGACTCTCATTCCTGCTCAGAAACCCCTTCTTGGCCTGGTTTTGTTCTGTTTTTTTCTTCTCCATCCATCCCCTGCCTGACCATGGCTTGAGATGTGGTGGCAAACAGGTAGATGAATGACAACCACCTGCCTCCCACACCCCCCAGTGTCAAACTATAGAATCTGTCCCCTCTCTCCCCTCCTCCCTTGTTGAAGAAACCCCATCCATTTGTACACAACCAGCCACCCACTCATCCACTCACCTCTCTGCCCTTAATCTACCACTTCTACCACCCAATAACCTATGTTCCCACCCATTCATCCAGGGTTTCAACCACCCAGCTACTAATCCATCCATCCACCCACCTACCCACGAGACCACCCATTCTTTACCTATCCAGCCAACCATTTACTCATCAGCCCAACCTACCCACCAAGCATCCATCCATTGTTTCACAGATCATTCCAGCTCTACCCCTCCACCCTCCACATTTACTCATCCATTCATTTACCCACCGATCATCCATCCAGAGTTTCATGCATCCATCCATTCATCAATCCATCATCAGTTCACCCTTCTGCCCTATCACTTTCCCTCCACCCATGCCCCTGTCACACATTCAACCACTATCTATCACAACCTCCATCCACCCATCAATCCATCTATTCATCCTCCATCCATGTACTCTTCTGTCCATCCATCCATCCATGTTTTCACACCTCTATTCCATCTCCATCCATCAATATGTCTATCTAGCCATCTTCGAACCATCTACTCATCTTTCCATCTATCTATCCTCCATCTATCCATCCATACATCTATCCATCTTCCACCCATCTACTCATCCTTCCATCTATCCATCCATTGTCCATTCTTCTACCTCCTTCATCCACCCCTTCGCTCAAACATCCACCCATCTATACATCTTCCATTCATGTAGTCATCTGTCCATCTATCCATACATTCATGTGTTGACACATCCATTCATCCATCCATCCATCCACCTATCCATCATCCATCCATCCATTCATCCATCCACCCATCTACCATCCATCCATCCATCCGTTCATCCATCCATCCATCCTCCATCCATCCATCCCTCCTCCAGCCAGCTTTTCATCCATCCATGTTTTCAACCATCCATCACCCCCTCACACATGCATGTACCCATATACCCACCCATGACATTGTATAAAGTTTCTATCATGGCAGTAAATCCATGTAGACTTGAGTTCCCATCCCAGCAAGGTGCCCACTGCCTGAGTTTCTGTGTATCGTGTTCCTTTACAGCATTTGATCATCAACAAATTCACACTAACTTTTATTGATGATCAAACTAAGTGAAGTAACATGGTGCATTAGTATATATAATTACATTGAAGCTTTCTTTCAACAACATGGAACAAACCAAGCTTTTCATAAACAGTAAGTATTACCCCTGAATCTGCGTTAACATTTTCTATGGTTTTTGCTGTGACTGTGTTAATCAACATTTTCTGTAGTCAAAAAACAGAGCCCTTCAGCCTGCAGAGAGAGACAGTAAGAAAAATGACTTTCAAATTAATCTCTGGAATTGACATTATTAGTGGTTGTTACCAGTGGTCCTCTGTCCTGCCACCGTGCCCGCCCTCACCCAGAGACAGGGCTGAGACGGGGTTGGGTGACAAGAATACCTCTCTGCTTGCCGCTCTGCCAGTGCATCACTTCTGACCAGTCACTTGGGTAAGTCCCGGAGCCATAGCTGGACACCACAGTCTTCACTCTAGCTCGGAAATAGTAGCATTTATCAGCATCCAAGCTTTCTATTGTAACTCTGCACCGGTCCTCCTCCTCCGTGGACTGAAAGAAAATACACACCCATCTAAGTATTAAGGCCACAGATAACTCCTGAATATGCCCAAAAAAACAGAAACAGATGACCTTATCAGCTCAAG